CCCAAATGTATTGGCCGTTCTACTTTACCTCAAAGTTGAATTGGATTCCTTAGTTACTGGTCTGGAGCTCTTGTTTTAATTTTTGCATTTTGGGCTTTCAGTTTGGATCCTCCAGGCAGAGGCCCCCTGTTTTATCAGAGTAGGAATACCAGAGCCAGTGAGCTCCATAGAATTGACGGGCTACCCTCAAATAAAAGACTCGATAATAGAAGATCTAGCGCCTCCTACACACATTTGCTGGACTTTACATAGCTTCTAAGGCAGCCCTTTTCATCCAGGGTTCCTATAGAGGTGGCCAGGGGGTCTTTGAGCAATGAGCAGTGGTGGACCGATCTCATTGGTGCCTGCATCGTTCCAGTATTATACAATAGTAAATACCAGTCTAAAGGGGTGCTTCTCCCACTGACTACCAGTCTAAGGAGGTCCTTCCACTACTGATTAACAGTCTGAGGGGGTCCTTCTCCTATTGACAAGCAGTCTGAAGGGATCCTTCTACAACTGACTACCAGTCTAAGGGGGTCCTTCTCCCACTGGCAAGCAGTCTGAGGGGATCCTTCTACAACTGACTACCAGTCTAAGGGGGTCCTTCTCCCACTGACAGGCAGTATGAGGGGATCCTTCTACAACTGACTATCAGTCTAAGGTGGTCCTTCTCCCACTGACAAGCAGTATGAGGGGATCCTTCTACAACTGACTATCAGTCTAAGGTGGTCCTTCTCCCACTGACAAGCAGTCAGAGGGGATCCTTCTACAACTGACTACCATTTTAAGGTGGTCCTTCTCCCACTGACAGTCAGTTGTAGAAGGATCCCCTCATACTGCTTATCAGTCTAAGGGGGTCCTTCTCCCACTGACAAGCAGTATGAGGGGATACTTCTCCAACTGATTACCAGTCTAGGGGGGTCCTTCTCCCAGTGACAAGCAGTATGGGGGGGGCTCCTTCAGTCATTTATGCATTAAAATAGTTATAACTAACTGAGCATGTTTATGTACCATAAGTTGTAGATTTAGCAGGGGTTCCCAGAGACCCGAAAATTGTATCATGGGTTCCTCTTTGGTAAAAGGTTGAAAAAGGTTGTTCTAAGGGTTTTGGCACAAGAACAACTGTGTGGTGGTGATATTTAGCAGAACATTTTTTTAAAAAGAGAACTATGGCCCAACCTTTCTAGCCCCTAGTTCTCTTCAGTGTCACAGGAGGACATATAGTAATGTCCTCCTTTGACCCAAAACTCAGCAAATAGCAGACTATTGCCCCCTTTATGCTGACAGTGCAGAGCCGCGCTGTGGCTGGGAAAGATCTCAACAATATTGTTGGGATCCACCCCACTTCCTGATTGACAGCTGGATCTGCCTCTCGCCCCTCCTCGTCTGTCCCTCCAGTCAGCGCTGGAGGAATAGAGAGAGAGAGGGAAGGGTAGAAATCCCTGCGGGGAGTGGTGGCTGACAGTCACAGCTCTCTGCATGGAGAAGATCAAGAACTGAACAATCAGCGGTATGTGACCGCTCAGTTTCCAATCAATAGAGCCGTTGTGTGACAGATGCATTGTCTCATGTCGGCTGTAATTATGGGGATGAGTGTATTTCACTCTCCCCATAATTCTCCTTTACGTAACTGTGTTGCTATGAAAAAGCAAAAATTGTCATCAATGGCAGGTTTGTGTTGCAGTGATTCTGGTATTTTTAGCTGTTAGGGAATTGACTTTAGGGATTTGAAGCCAGAGAATCCCCAGCTTCAGTAGCTACTCATGTTATCTGATGTTCTTGCTCATGACCATAGCACCATCAGCAATCTGTAGCTGTACAGACAAGTATGGAAGCGATCTAAAGCAGCAACTCTATAGCCAGAAAGGTCCCAGAGATATTTGTAGCTTCTACAAATATCTGCTACAAAGTTGTTGGTCTCCCATGGCCCTTGGCATGCCCAACTATATCATAATTTCAAGATTTGATAGATGTTTTGGAAAGTTTTCGGTAAATAGGACACCAACTGAACATGAGTGTGAAGACTTTTTATGGCAGCTACTACAGCTGGCCATAGAAACTGAAGGTTGGTTGTAAAAATGTATCTGTGGTTCCTTTGGTCTAGCTTCAGATATGAACATGAATGGATGGGTCATCTAGACTTTCGTGTTTATACTGTAGAGTAGGAGGTAAGACATCTGGCTAGCAAATGCCATTGGATTAGGCCCAGGCGTTATGTACCCCAATATCTCTTGTTGGCAGTCTGTTTTTTTTCTCTAAAGCCTGAAGTTTGGATTTAGGTTGACACCATTTATTGGCAAGCTCAAAAGATTGTAGAGCATGTTTTCAAAACAGCCAAATGAATGGACCCTACATCCCAACTTCTACTTTCCTCAAGGCTAACACCGTACAGCACTCTACTGCCCCTTCCAGAACCTAAAATCACAGAGAAAGTTTTCTTCACAGAATTATATCAAAGCAAAGAACTACCCCAATTCCACCAACGTGGAGGTAGAAAACGATGGTTCCGAGTCTGCCGTGTTTAAGCAGCTCTTCCAGAAGTGGCCCACAAAGGACGAGACCACTGGCCTGGGGAAGACACATACTGTTGGTGCAGTAGGTAAGTGAGACATAAATTTATTGCGAACTCACTGTACACTATATTACCAAAAGTATGGGGACCCTCCCACTCCAAATCATTGGATTCAGGTGTTCTGTGAAATTCCTTGCTACTAAATATTCTGTGGTCACCTGTTACTGGTATTATAACAAAGTGAAAGCAACCGGGAACAACAGCAACTCAGTGGTAGGCCACATAAAATGACAGAGCAGGGTCAGCGCATGCTGAAGCGCACAGTGCGCAGAAGTCGCCAACTGTCTGCATAGCTACAGACCTCCAATCTTCGTGTGGCCTTCAGATTGGCACAACAACAGTGCGTAGAGAGCTTCATGGAATGGGTTTCCATGGCCGAGCAGCTGCATCCAAGCCTTACATCACCAAGTGCAATGCAAAGCGTGGGATGCCGTGGTGTAAAGCACGCCGCCACTGGACTCTAGAGAAGTGGAGACGTGTTCTCTGGAGTGACCAATCACGCTTCTCTGTCTGCCAATCCGATGGACGTGTCTGGGTTTGGCGGTTGCCAGGAGAACGGTACTTGCCTGACTGCATTGTGCCAAGTGTAAAGTTTGGCAGAGGAGAGGATTAGGCTGTGGGGTTGTTTTTCAGGGGTTTGGCTTGGCCCCTTAGTTTCGGTGAAGGGAACTCTTAAGGCATCAGCATGCCAAGACATTTTGGACAATTTCATGCTCCCAACTTTGTGGGAAGAGTTTGGGGACGGCCCCTTCCTGTTCCGAAATGACTGCGCACCAGTGCACAAAGCAAGGTCCATAAAGACATGGATGGGGGAGTTTGGGTTGGAGGAACTTGACTGTCCTGCACAGAGTCCTGACCTCAACCCGATAGAACACCTTTGGGATGAATTAGAGCGGAGACTGCGAGCCCGGCCTTCTCCTCCAACATCAGTACCTGATCTCACAAATGGTCCAACATTCCCATAGACACACTCCTAAACCTTGTGGACGCCTTCCCAGAAGAGTTGAAGCTGTTATAGCGGCAAAGGGCGGAGCCAACTCAATACTGAACCCTACGGACTAAGACTGGGATGCCATTAAAGTTCATGTGCGTGTAAAGGCGTCCCAATACTTTTGGTAATATAGTGTATTTCTGTAGGGGGTGCCATTGGCTAGAGGTGAGAGCAAATCATGATGAGATTTTCCCAGGCATCACTGGCTGCTTGGTATAAGAGAACTGGCACCTCAGCAGGAGAGGCTTTCATCCCAGCTGCATTCGCTGTGGCAACGTGCCCAAGACGGCTGCCTCTTCTACCTCTGCCTTGGCATGCCCCTTGCTGTAAGTGTATGTGACTTTCATTATAATTCATTTACTGGATTTTAAAAACAACTCTGGCACTTTCATCACCACACACTGGAAACAAAAGCCAAACAGACATTTAGAAATGGTTACTAAGAATAATTCCCATGCTTTTTAGTTTGCTTGGCACGGCTCTGTGTCTGCATACAGTATTACAATACAATGACCCAGCGCTGGCAATATATTACTGATAACGCCCATTTTAAACTCTATATTCATTTAGCCAAAGTGGAACAAGTGAAGTTTGATGCCACGCTCATGCACGCCAAACCAGAGGTAGCCGCGCATCACAAGATGGTCGATGACGGATCGGGAGAGGCGGAGGTGAGAATATATTTTCATATATCTGTGAGTGAGTATCAGATGCTGTTCCCCGCTTGAAGAATTAAAGAGGAATGTCAACTTTGTCTTAAAAATGACAGCAAAGGCATTATTAGAAATGTTTAGTAATGGCAATCTTTTTTTTTTTTTGCATAACTTATTCTTTTCCTCCCCATTCTTCTCATGGGGGCCATTTTCACTTAGGGCAGATTATTCCATCTGCCTTTACATCCAGGTTGGCCTCCTGGAACATGTACACATCATCTGAAGGGGGGGATGCCCTTCCCACAAGCTCTCAAGGGATTTTGCAGTTTTTGCAGATGAGATGTCTCAGGAAGGCGCTGGTGATGTAACCAGGACTACATCACCAGTGCCTCACTTGACCAGGAAGAGGAAAAACAGTCTACTGCCACCCACCTCTAATGCGTTTCACCCATTGGGCTTACTCATTACTCTATGAGTAAGCCCAAATGGATGAAATGGATTAGAGGAGGGTGATAGTAGAAGCAGAGAAGCTATGTGATTGTACACTGCAGGAGGAATAAAATGCTTTCAGTGAAGAGCAGCGATGTGCAATCATTTTGTTTGAAGCACATTTCAGAATCAAGGACGAGCTTGTGATCAGCCCCCCTCTGAGCTCCCAGGTGGAGACTAATGGAGGATGTGAGCGGTGATCTACATGCCTAAGGCCAAATGTAGATAAATGTAAAATGATTACATGTCAGTGGAGAAAACTGCATGTAAATCCAGGGAAAGGTCAACTTTAGGAATGTGTTGTGCATAGTAACCAATCAGATGGTTGCTCTCATTTTTCAACTTGTAGTAAAAATTCAACAGCTGCAATCAGACTGATGAAGGACACTTAGGCCCCGTTCACATTGAGCGATTCGCAAATCGCGCGTTTGTCGCGCAAATGCTTGCATCAAAAACCATTGAATCGCGGCAAAATCCGCTCCAAAAAGGGTCCTGCTTTAGCGACACACGACCCGCGACAGCAGGACCCTTTGCCCCATTGCAAAGCATTGAAGAGCGATATCGCGCGGTAAATAGCCGCGATATCACGGGAATTACCGCGCGATAAATCGCTCAATGTGAACGGGGCCTTAGGCCCCATTCACACTGAGCGATTTTTGCAGCGATATCGCTCATATTTCCACGCGATATCACTCTATGTAGCTTCTCCAATCCATTTCAATGGAGCTGTTCACATCTCGTCGCTCAATATGGCTTGTAGCTCGTCGCTGGTAGCTTGTCGCTCCTACATGACCCTTTTTTCGAGCAATTTCGAGCGATTTTGCTCCTGATTGCATACAGCCCAATAGGAAAAAGTTGCGCGATGTCATCTCAAAATCACGCGATTTTCATGTCGCTCAGTGTGAATGGGGCCTTACATGTGATGCTGCACTGAGAGCCATGACCCGTTGTCTCTGCAATGCTCCCGCGCATGCAGAAGTCTTTGCTTTGTCCTTGCGCTGATATTCTGTTTCCTGTCCCCGCAGGTCTGGAGAATTGAAAACATGGAACTGGCACCAGTAGAGAAACAGTGGCTGGGACATTTCTACGGCGGAGACTGTTACCTCATTCTGTACAAGTACCTTGTTAATAACAAGTACCATTACATCCTCTACATCTGGCAGGTAAGACCAGTAAGGGCCCACAGTTGATGGCTGACATGAATAATGTTCAGGATTAGAGATGAGGTGGGTCATGGCTCTCACAATCAGTGGCGGGGGCATTCCCAGGGCCGGATTTCCCACAAGGCCAACCAAGGCCCGGCCTGGGGGCAGCAGGGAGTAGAGGGGCAGCAGGGGTGTGGAATTCCTATCTCCCGATGCCCGGGACATGCAGTTCTGTGCGCCGGATCAGGCAACCTGGGTTCACACCAAGCCCCGGCTCATCATATGTCAGTCATAAATTAAAAGCATAGTTCACTCTAAGCAATACATTTTCCCAATGGGACATACAAATTTGACTTTTTAACCATTCCCTATTATATCCAAAACTTAGAAAAACAAAAAGCTGACCTTTAGGCTGCCTATCGGGGTCTTTCAGCTAGGTGGCCCAAGTCCAACTGAAGGAGCACACATGGCCGACTTAGCAATGTCAGCCTGCAGCAGTTTCTCAAAAAACTATTTGCTTAAGGGAGGGATGTCCAAACTGCGGCCCTCCAGCTGTGGTGGAACTACGAATACCATGAGGCTTGCAAGATTCTCACAGCCACAGACATTACTCTCGGAGAGAGATGCTTCATGGGATTGGTAGTTTCACCACAACTGAAGGGCCGGAGTTTGGATATCCCTGGCTTAAGGTGTCTCCATCACGAGACAAACATGGCGGCTACCATTGCTGATCTTCTTCTGAAAACGCTAGAGGCCCGGCTGTTACTTTAGTATGTTTCAGTCACAGTTCCAGAACAAGCATCAGAAAAGGTGTATCTCTATACTTGTTCCGGACCAGCGTCAGAATGGCAGGAACTAGCGTTCTCCAAAGAGAGTTGAGTTATGGTGGTCTCCGTTAACCTCCCATGACAGTGTCTATGTAGGAAAACTGTATACAGGAATAATGCTAAAAATACCAAAAAAAACATTTTAGGCTTTACATACATTTTAAGCTCACAAGACTGTTAGATTTATTTTTTTACTGTTTTATCCCTAACAGTAAAAATTCTAATTCGCCCACTCTGTCCTGTTTGGTACGCTGGGAGGTACACTCACCCACCATGTTTATACATGCCTCCCACAGGGTCGCCATGCCAGTGCCGATGAAATTGCTGCGTCAGCCTATCAGGCTGTGGCCGTGGATCAGCAATATAATGGGGAGCCTGTTCAAGTACGTGTAAGCATGGGCAAGGAACCCCCGCACCTCATGGCTATATTTAAAGGGAAGATGGTGGTGTACGAGGTAAGATACATTCGGTTCAATGATGTGATGTGAAACTGTTTCGGGTGCTCACAACGGTCGTCTTTTATTTATATGTTAGAGGACGTAGAACAATAATGGATTAAATGGCAGTATCAGCAGGTAATCAAGCTATGTTACACAGGGAACTCTGTGCTAATGCTACTAGCAGACTGCAATATATGTTTCCTTTGCCTATAGTATAACTTTAAACAATATGTAAACTGTTTACTTAGCCGCTTGCCTGGAGTGCAATTAATAGAGGATGAAAAAAGTATCTTTTCTCACTCAGGGTGGTACCTCCCGTGCAGACAGCGATGAGACTCCCCCTGAGATCCGGCTGTTTCATGTGCACGGAACCAATGAATACAACACCAAGGCTTTTGAAGTTCAGGTGCGGGCCTCATCCCTCAACTCTAATGATGTGTTTGTGCTGAAGACAAAGGGAGCCTGCTATATCTGGTGTGGAAAGGTAAGGAAACCAACCTGGGAACCTGAGCTGGCTGGATCCTCATGTTCCTGGTAGGGCCACTCTTGCCAGATAGGTCAAACGTAGAGACCAGGCTAAAAGATATCTTGTAACCCCCAACAGGCATTCACATGGGGTGTGCCAGACACACCCTTATCACCCCAAGCGTAGGGTTGCCACCTGTCTGGGATTCACCCAGACAGTACGGGTTTTAGGTCTGCTGAAACCTGGACACAAGATGTCATGGTGTCAGGCGGGCAGGGGCACCCACGGGGTCCTGGTGTACCAACTTGACGGGACACTGGAACTGAAACACAGGGTGCAGATAAGTCTCGAAGGGCACACTCTCCTGACTGTTTCTCTTCTTTCTCTCCCCTGGCTGTCTCTCTCTCCCCTGGCTGTCTCACATCACTCACTTCTGGCGGTCTCTCCTGGCTCTTTCTCCTATCTGTCTCACCTGGCTGGTTCTACTTACTCTTCCCCGTGGCTGTCTCTCCTCTCTCGCTCCTGGCTGTCTCTCCTTGCTCTCTCTCCTATCTGCTCTCATCTCTCTCTCCCCCGGCTGGTTCTCCTCACTCTCCCCTGGCTGTCTCTTATCTCTCTCCTAGGTGTCTTTTTCTCTCACCCCTGGCTGCCTCTCCTCTTTTTCTCACCCGTCTCTCTCTCTCCCATGGGCTTCCACTACCTGGTGCCAAGGAGCAGAGAAATATCCTATGTCCTCAGCTCCATCTAGTGGTGGGAATGCTGTGAGAATGTCATTTGCGCAATGTGTTGCTGGGCAGAAGATGTATAAAGTCGGGCCCATAGAGCCAGGGAAGTGAACTCTTCTTTTCCCCTCCCCGCTATGTTTAGACCTTAGTTTTGGCTTCAATTAGAGTGAAAGCCTGAAACCGTGCTGTGACTGTACCTCCCGTGTTCTATAAATCCAGTGACATGAATGCACCCTGTACAATGTTGCTTCGCAATACACAGATTTTATACACATAGAGAGGAATTTATCAAAACTGGAGCCCATGGCAACCAATCAGCTTCTCTCTATAGTTTTGTTCAGTTAAGCTTTGAAAATGAGAGAGAAGCTGATTGGTTACTATGGGCAACCGCTCCAGATTCTGTCTGCTCTGGTTTTGATAAATGCCCCTCACAGCATAAAAAGATTTAAAACAAAAATTGAAAAAAATAAAAGTGACCCAAATGCTGACCAATGAAACCATGTTACAGACACTGCAAGGTGGAAATGTTCCACATCTGTGGTTGATGTCCTTTCCGACTCTAGCTCAGGGACTTGTATGCAGGGCCGGTGCTGCCAATAGGCAAACTAAGCAGTCGCTTAGGGCGCAGCCTCGAACACTCACCACCCCCCCTCTACCCTCCCGGTCTATTTAAAAAAATGGAAAGCCAATAGCAGTCTGGCTATTGTACCCGCCCACTGAGTAGAGGAACAGAACTGAGAGACAACTTTCTCTCTCAGGTCTGCCCATCTGCTCAGTGGGGGGTTTCAATAGCCAGTCTGCTATTGGCTATTTCAAATTCAAATGGCCAATAGCAGTCTGGCTATTGCTTACATTCACCTGTCACCAGCAGAAGATAGCAGGCAGGAGAATGGGGCTGCGTGCGCACTTGGGGGGGGCTGGGGTTTGGTTGGGGGTTGCACCGCAGGAGGGGGGCTGGGGGGTGCAGGTAGCTGGTCTTGCCTAGGGCGCAAAATAGTCTAGCACCGGCCCTGCTTGTATGGCTGGAAGAACTAAAATAAAATGTACGTTTTGTCTCACGCAGGGCTGCAGCGGTGATGAGAGAGCCATGGCCAAGACTGTGGCTGACCTGATCTCCAGGGGTGAGAAAGTGGTTGTGGCTGAAGGCCAGGAACCGTCTGAGTTCTGGTTGGCTTTGGGAGGCAAATCTCAGTATGCTAACAACAGGAGGTAAATATCTGACCCCCCCCCAATGCTAGTGTGACTGGAAAACACAAAAAAACATATTCTAGACAGATTATTGTGACGATTCAGGGATCTCCAGTACCAGATACGAAGTAAGAATCATGAGGCGCTTAGGAGAACTTGAGATCATAACATAGCAGTCATAAATGAACCGGGGGTGCTTTAAGAACTCTTCCAGTTGCTCTTAGAGAAATGAATTTTACCTTTTCTTCCATGCATGAATAAACCAAATCTACAGACATCAGAAGGATCCTTTCTTAGATATCATATTTCTATAAATGATACGCATGGCATCCTACAAGAAGCAAAGACGAGAAGACCATGCTATAGAGTTCAGCAAAAGTTCCCCATCATCCTCAGTCATGGTACTCATCACATGTCAGCCTTAGAATACAAAAACTTGGAAACCATAGGATATCCAATTCATGAAACAAATACAGTAAACTCCCAGTTATCCAGTACCCATGGGGGTTGGTCGATGCCGGATAACTGTAGTTTCTGGTTGCTTGGGAGTTACTATTAAAGAGAACTATGAGGTGAGTGATTTCCACTCACCTCATAGTTCTAGCCGACCTGTGACAATGAGACTGTCACAGGTCTGCTCAGTAGATCGGGAGGTGAGCGAACACATACCGGCGTTCGCTCACCTCTCGATCCTGTCACGGCTCTCTGCCGTGACAGGGGAGGGGCTGGATTCCCCCCCTCCCCGCTCCGATCCGCCAGCGCTGACTGCCGGAACGAACAGGGGAGGGGGCGGGTACAGCTGGCTCTGCCTCTAGATAGGCAGAGCCAGCTGTCAGTCACGCCGCTGGGCGGATCCCGGCACAATTGTCGGGATCCGCTTCAGCTGCGGCGTCTCAGTATACAGCTCGCGGTATACTGAGCCTAGGGTGACGGGAGGACGCTAGTTTGTGTATTCCCGTTACCCTAAGGAGAACTATGGGGAAAAGACTTAACCCCATAGTTCTCCTTTAACTGTCAAGCAACAACCCCACCCCACCCCTTCACTCCTGCCCCATTCATCTGCTGGCTAGATTCTGCTATGGGCTATTTAAAATTGCCATATCCAATAGCAGGCTGGCTATTGCACATGCAAAATTAATTTGGTTGCTAACAAAAAGTTTTGTGTGCACATGTCTATCAAGCAACTGGCAAAAAATAAAATGAGGACATATGTCCTCCTTTTTTTTTTTCTGGTTGCTTAAGAGTTCTGGTTGCTTGAATGCCAGATAATGGTGAGTTCACTGTACTCATATTTTGGTAGAAACCCCATAGACCACGGCGTCTCCATACAATGGCACAAAGATTACAGCTCTGGGTTTTACCATGTTCAGCTCTAAATACAAAAACAATATCTGGTCTGTTTCAAGATGCAGAAATAGTACGTTCAGCTCCAAACAGAGATAGCAGGAGACCCAAGGCCATGCAATCACCAGATTGAGATGCCAACTATTGATCACTAGGGATGCACAGAAACTTTTCGAGTACCAGTGCAGATACTTGGCATTTTCATGAGAACTACCAGGGTTGCAGCGGTTGCAGCTGGGACCGGGCTCTGGCGCTCCACCACTGTCCTGAAATCATAAGTCTGTATTGTTTTAGAAAAACTGTAACTTGACACTAAACAAAAATGTATCAGTACTCGTACCTGAAAGTACTCGGCAAGTACCAGTACTCGTACCAAAACTGGTATCTGTGCATCACTTTATTTATATTTATAAAAACAAAAGCGTACATTAAAACAGAGATGTAGAAATCCCGAGAGCTCCGTGTGCTCCTTACAAATGACAGCGGCCTCCTAACTTTAGAATTTTTCTCTAGTGTAGTCTTGGAGCTCAAAAGTATCGGTACATGTACTCGTACTTGTACCGAGTACTGTACTTGGTATCTGTGCTACCCTATTGATCACCATAGCAGACTCAACGTAGACTGAAAGGCTTGGATTCCATTGATCAGTGCAGTTCTGATACTATGCATAATTATAATTCTCCTCATCACAGAGTCCTTGAGACTTGGGGGTTAGACAGCTCTGCCATTTATTATCTCCGGTTAGAGTCAATAACTGGTGATCATAGAATACTGAATCCTTGGAGAAACACTTGGAGATCAAATAGGCCTTTGATCAAAGTGTCCAAAAAAGAAGGAACCGTATTGGCCAACACCAAACTAGCAGATTCAACGTGTGATTGCAAGCGAGACATAACATTGAAGATTTAAATTGGGCCGGTCGCTGTTGAAAGACACAGTTCATTTTTTCGCTCAAGATACAATCTTGATGTCCTAGTTTCTCTAATTCATGATTAAAAAATGTCCCACCACAACATATGGACAGTAGTAGTCCCTGTCCCACTGCACTCCAGACTGGAATCCCAACTCAACCTAACCACTGAACCATCACATTCTGAAACAATTCCTCCCCACACAGCTACCTCCTCATGTATCACCGGCCCCTCCCTTTAGATTGTAAGCCCTCAGGGGCGGGGCCCTCCTTACCATCTTGTCTTGTATTGTATTGTGATTGTAATGTCTTCCTTATATTGTAAAGCGCTGCGCAAACTGTTGGCTCCATATAAATCCTGTATAATAATAATAATGTAATAAGATGGGTGCTGGCATGACCTGCGGATGGCGTCGCGTAAAACTAAATATAGTAAAGAAGTCACCTGCACTTCAAGGTCCACTATGTAGAACATCTTTAATAAAGACACTAAACAATCATGGTGACACCAGTGAACAACATTTCGGATCCGTTAGTGGCCCCTTCATTCGGCGTCACAGTGTTTGCATGACGAAGAAACCACTAACAGTTCCAAAACGTTGTTGACTGGTGTCACCATAATTGTTTAGCGTCCTTATTAAAGGTGCTCCACATAGTGGACCTTGGCGTGCAGGTGACTTCTTTCGACTTCAAACTTTAGAACATTCAAAAGGTTCAAACTCGAACTCAATGCAAGTCTATGGGGGGTAGAACTTTCAAAAACAATTATCCCCTTTCAGAGGGCTTATATGCAAGTCATTGGCCATAAAAGGTGTGGTCAGGTGCAAGGCTTTAGCCAATCAGGGCTCACAAGACACAGTGCCTTGTGTGGGGGTGCTCGGCGGCGAACAGCCCGCCGAACACTGACAGTTCGTGTGGTCGCCAAACATACGAACTGCCGACGTTCGACTCAAACATCAAGCCCAACCTTACTCTGTAGACCAGTGGTTCTCAACCTGTGGGTCGCGACCCAAAAGTGGGTCGCAACCCATAGTTGAGGCGGTCCCCACGTGCCTTGTGCTGCTCTAAGTAAGAGTTTCCTCAGCCTCCTCCTAGCACAGCAGTGTCAGTACTCCTAGATGGCGCTGCAGCAGCAGCGGCCAGAGAGGATCAGAGAAAGGGGAGCGGGCAGTAGTGAGGGGAGGTGAGTGCTTGATCACCACAGAGCCCGCACTGGATGCCACCAGAGAGTCCCACTAGCCACCTGAGAGCCCGCATAGCCTCCCAAGAGCCCACACAGATACTAGTATTGGTGCATCCCTACATTTTACGGTTGGGGGGTCACCACAACTTGGCAATGTTACCAAGGGGTCCAGGCCCTAGAGAGGTTGAGAACCACTGCTGTAGATGGGCAGATACACTTTATAAAGAGCTGTATCATCGTCGCTTAGTGCTGCAGGAAGCCAATGTTCATATTCTTCTGGATGCTGAATGCAAATTTATATGGAGATTGATGATAAACGAACATATAACCAGAGGAATACATTGTCAGAAGCTGCAACATTTTCTCTCTTTCTCCTTGAAGATTGCAGGAAGAAACTCTCGACATTGCCCCTCGTCTCTTTGAATGCTCCAACAAGACAGGAACCTTTATCGCAGATGAAGTTGCCAATTATAACCAAGACGATTTAATTCAAGATGACGTCTTCTTATTGGATGCCTGGGATCAGGTGAGAGGGGCGGGAACCTATGACTCCCATGAGCTGCCGTAGGTGATTCTATTAAACCCATAGCCACCAATGGTTTTCTAACGGCCGTAAGGTAACGGAGGGGGAGGAAACTTCTTATTGGTTGCCGTGGATTATAATCGCTGGTCCGTGCATCTACTAAGGTAGATCATTACCAAACCGCAGTGAGGTAAACGTTTCTGTAACGAACTTATAGAGTGAAAAGACTTTAGTAGGAACAAACATTCCCATCATCCTAGAAACAGAAACTCAAAAGAGGAAGTACAGATAACGTGAGTTTATATTTCTTTTACAGGGGAAACATAGTCAGGCAACAAATCACACTGGCCATACAATGGTAGATTTTCCTACGAACGCTCATCAGAACATCCCATAATGACATAAAGAAACTTGCCCCATGTCATTCGAAAATGTTGTTTGTTTTGGGAAAATGAATGGAGTTTCCTGAACGAAATCCACATGCACTGCTAGATTTTTGTTCGTTCAAAGAAAAAATTTCCATCCTGCTCTTTTGCTTTTTTTAGTGACTGCGATCGAAAACGATAGTCGATTTAGCCCCAATATTAGAAAATTGATAGAACGTTCCGAAAATGTTTTCCTAATAACATTCTACTGGTATATTGCCAGCTCAAAGGATGATTGTACTTGTAAAGACACTTTAGCTGTTTCAATATATTTAGGGACATCAAGCAAATATTCCCTCCAAGCTGCATTTTCCTTTCCCCCTGTTCTATCAAAGATGGTGACTGCGTTAGAAAGTGTGACCGGTGACGTGGTCACGCATTTTAACGTAATCCCGCCCAGTTTTCCGGCTGAAAAACGCTTTGGGTTACGTTAAAATGTGTGACCACGTGACCCGTCACACATTCCAACCCAGTCACAATCTTTGATAGAACCCCCCCCCCCTCAGAGAGCCTAGGTCAGCGTCTTGTCGATCGTTGTTAGATTTTCGTTTTTAACGTTTGGCTTCGAAAATGAAAGGAGTTTTTTCGAACGAAAACCACATTCTCTGTTAGAGTTTCCTTGAAATGATTTAGTCACTGTGATTGAAATCGATCATCGATTGCACCGCATCACTGAATAGAAAGTCGAATTAACAGTCTGAAACGGATTGTTCATTTGAAATTCTAACCGTGTATAGCCAGCTTAAAGGAGAACTATGGGGCTAGGACACAAACTAGCATCCTCCCGTCACCCTAGGCTAAGTATACCGCGCTGGCGGATCGGAGTGGGGAATCCAGCCCCTCCCCTGTCACGGCCGAGAGCCATGACAGGATTGAGAGGTGAGCGAACGCTGCTATGTGTTCACTCGCCTCCCGATCTACTGAGCCGACCTGTGACAGTCTCATTGTCACCGGGCGACTAGAACTATGAGGTGAGTGAAAAGCACTCACCTCATAGTTCTCCTTTAAGCTTGTCTGAATCCACTGTGTAACCGCAGACGAGGACTGAGAACAAGGAAGGCCTATGTACCACATAGATGATTCAATGTCTTTAATGCCAGCAGCCATTAATGAAGCTTTCTATGTTGCCTTCTGCTCATGTAATCACTGGAGAGGACAAACTGTTAGAAGCTGGCTGTACACGCTTAGCCAAGCCCTGCCTATCTTACATTAGATGCAGTTCCAGACAGCCTGCTATGGAAAGCTGAATGCACATCTAAAGGGATCCTTGTTGCTTTCCTTGCTCTCAGTCAAGACCTGGAGACGTCAGCTCCTTTCTCCAGGGGCTGCCATGTTCCCGGAATTCCGTTGATTACAGGTGTGCATGGATAAAAATCATGTATGGTTCCTCGCAGTGTATCAGGCAGCTCTGCTCCTTGTCTGCAGTTCAGTGCAGATGCTGACAAGTGGATGTAAACAATGCACTTATTCAGGACTGGCAGCTCTCCAAGCACTGTAGAAAGAATATATTTACATGTTTTAACCCTATAGCTATCTTTTAGGACAAAAGGTATTTGTGGGTCATTGCTTTCAACATCCTTAAGGTGGTTGTAATCATATCAGTGCACTTGTACTTGTTCAGTAGCTGTTGTAGCTTGTTCAGTAGCTTCTGTTAGAGTTTTATTGGATCCACTTGAAAACTTTTTTGCACAGAACGTTAATCATTTTTCCACTAAATATTTTTTCAATAATTTTCTTTTGAGAAATGAAGCACTATTAGGAATTGTTTTAAAATTGGTTGTTATCTGTACCCTCACCCAAGGACTATAGTTATCTTTATCACCACAGTGTGAACACATCATTTTAACCTAAATTTTTGGATATTCACTGTATATAATGGTTTATAAGATTATTTAATATTGTGTGATATTTATTTAAAATATTTATAATTTTCACTTTTATATATCCCGAAAGAGGGATTACATTTCACTTAGTATAGTGCTGCACACTCATTTTTTCACTTGT